GGTGGTGGTGGGGCGGGGGGGGGGGGGGAGAAGCAACAATCCAAAACAAAGTTTCTCTAATTTATTTTCAAGATTACTAAAAATAGTAATCTATGCTTCTCTGAGCACAGAGGCAGGCAGGCAGGATCGTTAACTAAATAGAGAAATGAAGTACACTAATTAGAAGTTCATTACAGAAGAAAAATGCTAGTGATGTTTCCAAACTTAAGCTCTGGCAGGCTGCCAAAGGAAAGTCATTCAGAAGGCCTAATATTCAGGGAAAAGGGCTGTACTCCCTCGAAAGCAGGGCTGCAAGTACCAATTGTATAAACATCTCTGTGAACTACATTTGCCTAGAGAAGTACGAAAGAAATTGTTTTACAAACACCTGGACTCAGGGTCCACTTAACCACAGTGCCCAATAAGCGAAACCCAGAAATCCTGTTAGAAAATTGGCTGCCAAGTGTACTGTGAAGCACAAAAAGACATTCACGTTGCACAAGCCTAAAACATGCTCGGTATTTTCTGCTCCTCTCAAGTTTAGAGAATTGAGCCTGAGTAATATTGTTCAAATTACATGAGCCTACGTCTCATTTCAAGTGGACGGGATTCATGTGGTTTCATCACCTAGGTTGTATTTATATAGCACAATCTAGCGCTAAGCGGAGAGAACAGATTGCTCTGAATGTGTTAGCTTGGACAGCCAGATTGTTATAGCTGTATTCACATCCTCTTGCTCGCAGGTTTACAGGATCTGCTTTTCAGCAGGCCTGTTCAGCCAAGGCAATTCAAGGTAATTCAGCTAAACTGCTTCTGGGGTCTGTGCTTGCTCGTTCATAGCATGGCACTGCGCCGTGCCATGCAGATGAGGCTATCGACATGCCTGCTGTTTCCAGCTGTGTCACTGAAAGAATCAAGGTGACTTTAAACTCTCGTATTTTAGTAGGAGCTGGCATGACTGGAGTGGCAAAATTACGCCAAAAGGGGTTAACAATAAACAGTTCAAAACCCAACTATTTGGAATCGCTTTATCTTCTTTCTAACAAATACAAAGTTTCACTAATCCACAGAATTACTCCACTGGACAGTGATAAAAGAAGCACAACGCACGTTTGGGAAGCAAGCGTTACACCGACCTTCTTAAACACTATGGTTTCCTCTTCCCAGACGGGATTAACTGCATTGCCTTGAGAGGTCTTGGTCTTCAAAGCTTTTCTTCTTGTATCCACAGGCAGGCCAAACATGTCGACTTCTACATAGGTACCAACTTTTTTATCAGAAAGAAACTGACCTGAAATGATCTGAAACCAAAAGAAAAGAGGATCACTAGAGACCGCTTTGGTGGCTTAGGAAATGAGTGGCTGACATGCAGATGCGTAATTCTCATTAATGATCAGATAGTATGCATTTCAAATAAAATCAAAACAAAACCAAAACCACAATAAACAAAACGCCCACTGTTTAATATTGCAGACACAGAAAAACAACTTCTGAGGCCTGATTTCCTGTGACCCTGCGGTCCCAAATTCCCCTATGAGTGATAATGTGGTTGAGATCATGCTGCTGCCCTTCCCTTAGCAGGAATACTAGTTTGGATCTCATTCCTCAATCTGGCTGCCTATTTCCACAACGCAGTATCTTTGAGAAGATACCTATCTCATTTCTATATAGTTTCAACAACAGGTTCAAAAAATGCTGGAAGAAAAGAGGTATAAGCAGCAGAGAAACTATGTATGTTTTTAAGTGCGAGGGAGAAAAGAAACTAAAAAGTTGGTATTCTCGTGAAGGCTCTTCGCAGAGGGTGAGGAGTTTCACTATGAAAACAAGACAGCTGTAAAATACCTGGTCTTTTCTAGCTCTTATTTTTAACAGGAGCACAACTCTCAGCTTTAAAAAGTGAAAGAAAGGTCTGCAATTGCTTCAGAAAATGGAAGAGGCACAGGAATACGTAGCAGTGTCACTGTGCCTTAATAAATTCAGCCTTCCCTAAAGCAAATTTTAATCTGTTCTCATCTGTACCTTGTATGGGCATGGACATTATTATAAATGTCCAGCAGAGTCTTCACCAAGCAGGCAGAAGCAGCTGACGCCTGACAGCTGTCTCGTGACTCCTGGATGTTCATTCCTGTTAAAAATGCTGTGCATCTCCTAATAGCTATTGAATGACTTCCACCTCCATTTACTAAAATTACAGAAGAAAGTGCCTCTAAACCCGCAGGAGGACCTGAAAGCTTCTATGATTACAGGTCACCAACAAGGTCATTCCCACACAGTCCTCTGTTTTTTTTTTTTTACCATGCATGTCATCAGATCATTATTTTTTTCATAACCCTCCCAGCACTGCTCTGCTAAGGTTGTGTCTGCAGCCTGAGAGGAAATACTTGCTTTCTCTAAAAGAAAACAGGAGGATATTTTGCAGGTGGATTCTGTAATACGGACACTGTTCTAATGGACAAGTCCATTAAAGGAGTAACAGGATTTCAGGAAGTTTATGTTTTTATAAATAGAGATATACAAAGTATAAATTGTGTGATCCTGTCATAGCCAATGCATTCTATCCCTCTAAACATTCATACAAGTAGTTTTCAATTTGCAGATTCCTGGTGGTCCCTGAACTTCATTACAAGTCCTTAAAAAGGAACGAAGAAAAGCAAGTTGGCAATGAATTGCGGCTGACATTTATGGTTCCACAGTTCTGCTGGAGAACTTATAGGGAACCAGAAAATTTATTTATACTAAACAGTGTACTGTTCTAGCTATTCCAGTGCAACCTACCACTTCATAACAGCATGTTTTAAATTCAGCTCTTTGTTACTAAAACCGCAGCCAAACTATTCTTAAATCCATTCACTTCCCAATTACTTCTATGGAAAAGAATACATACAACAAAAATACATTTATTTATCCTACAATACAAAATGTGAGGCAGAAGATCCTCTGCAATTTAAAAATGAAATGTCAGTCCATGAAATGAGACGCGTTTTATTTTCTTGTCTTAGTACGGTCATTTGCTAGGCCACTGCGTAACAGAAATATATCTGTGCTCTAACACTGTCACAAGAGCAGTTTTACCAGCTGCATACATACCTTGACAGACAAGGTGTTAGCTACTATTCCATCCACTATGCTCTCAGTAAATGGATCAAAGTGTTTGTCTGGTCTTCTCATGAATTCTGGCTTTAACCTGTATCCGCTTTTGCCATTGTACTCATACATTCCCATGTTTATTTGCATAGACAAATCTAGGTGTTAAAAATATTGGTAAGAATAACGTTCTGGTTAGTAAGAATTTTAAAAAGCAATAAAATAATACTATTTATTGTAATTTCAAACTGACTGTAATGTAAACAGCTATTTACGGCAGCTATTTATGGTTGCTTGTTCAAAGAGGTTTCAGACATGATTGCAGCCACTCTCTTGGATTCTTTTGACAAGAAAAAGACATCTGTAAGACATCTTTCACAGATTACTCAATAGGTAACTTTTTCAAATTTTAAAAGAAGCCTTGATACTTAGGTTTTTAGTCCCTCAGTGTTGCACTGTTGTACCTGACCCAGCAGAGTGCTTATGTTTCTAACCCCTTCTAACATCAGTCACTGGGTGCCTGATACTTGGTTGAAACTGGCCCAAAGAGGCTTTTATTACTCTGCAGATTCCCACCCTGTGTAGGGTTTCGCTTTCCATGGAAAGGCGGTGTATACATGGGCACAACTGGAAAGGAAAAAGGGAATGATACCATGGTACCATGTGCCCAGAGGCAGAACGTGGCCAGGATATGTCCTGGGATGCAGTAGATGGAAATCTTTGTATGTCTCAGAACAGACACAGGCTCAGAAGACAACACATTCTATTTCAAAAGTGACTTGTGCATCTAGGAGCCCAAATATCTTTGTTTCTTAAACATTCACTTTTGAAGTGGAATTTGCTAAGTCCCTTATGTCTTGATATACTGAGATTCTGTAAGACACAGGAAAAAAAAATCCCTGCCAGATCTGAAATGCTGCTCAATGGTAACCACTTACAAATGATGACAACATGGAGGGCATTATGTATGTGTATTATACTAGCTACAGCATGGTAATTATGAATATTCCTAGTTTAAAAAAAAAAAAACCCACAAACCTAACTGTGTCAAAAATATTAATTAACAGCTCTGTAGTATCATCAATCACTAGACATCTTTTGAAGCATAAAGCCTTTCCTACCTACGAATCAGACACTGCATCAGAGAAGTGGTAAGGTACAGCTTACAAAATCTAGAGACCAGCATAACTTACCTACAGTTTGGAAGTTAAGAGCAACCATTTGGCAGCCGGCATTCCAAAAGACTTGTGGCATGTAGTTCGAAGAATCTACCCGTGTTCCCTTTGGGTAAATTCGGCTTAGCTGCATTTTGTTGTATCTAAACGGTGAGTAGTTAAGATAGAGTACATGTGACAAAAATCACTTTGCAGGGAAGTGCAACTGCAATATGTAAATGCAGGTGTTCTTTACAGATCGGCAGTGGGTTCCTTATTGGATTTCTGCAACCATAATGCTTCCAGAGGTACACAATTTTGCAGGAGATACGATAAATACGGGGTAACTAAAGGGCCTGTTTGCTCCTGTACAGAGTACTCAGAATAAGCAAGGAAATAGCAAAGGCATATGCATTAAAAAGATAGCATCCATAAAATGCCATTTATCACTCTGCTTACTAATTTGGGCTTTTCCTAAGATTGCATTTTTAGAGGCCAAATAACTGTAAACAGCAAATCTTCCTCTGGTGGGGGGAGAGGTGCTCAGTTAAAAACTAAGTGCTTCTTCTGCAATAAGCATTAGAATTGGCCTCTACATATAGACAGAAATGATGAGTGTGCACTTCTTATAGTTGAGCCTACAAATCTCAGAGATGAGAACATGCTGCAGGGTATCTGTGGAAATAGCTTTCCATTAATCTTCTTTAAGGCATTATTTTATCTTGACCATTCATTCTTAACTGCAGCCATGATGAGAGACATTGAGAAACATCAAAAGGTCTAAACAGAATGCTCCTTAGCTTTTCTTTAAAAGTTATAAAAAAACCCTAAAGGAAAAAAAAAAACAAAACTGTGTGGCAATAAAACAGTTCAGTGCTCTCAGAACTAGAGGTATGATGGAAAAGCAAGCTCTCTTGTATGACTTTGCAAAAAAACATCAGCCACATTTTGACAATTTTCTCATCGTAACTCATACACCTCATAAAGGATGATAAATTTAACAATGAGAATACAAAGTATCAGGTCTTCAATATGTAGTTTATGCCTATTCCCTCTAGTCCTAGCCCACAGCACAAGGACTCATGCCAGCTTTTAAATTAGCTCATCAGAACCCAGGCCAATTAACTCATCAGTCAAATCTACAAATTTCATTTGGGTTCTCTATTTCCCCAGCTCCTGCCTCCAAATTTCAATAAAGCCCTGTAACAGATCTCAGATATAGAAAGGCTAAGAAAGCAGCTTTCTGAAAGTCAAGGATACTCCACAAATTCCACAGGAGACTTCGTAAGTTGCTCGAGCCCTTTGGTTTCCACAAAGGAAGACATCTCAAAACTTTTGTTGCGTTCTGAAAGTTTAAAGGGGAAATAAAGAGAGACGCATTAGAGCATGAAATCATATACGATACATGAGCTGCAAACAACTGGTTTAATCTCAGTCCCCTTATCCCACCTACTGTTCACCAGCTCATTTCACCTTGATCTCAAAAGAATTTACATACACAACCGTTTGCCGACAGCAGTAAGCTCACTCTGCACATACTCAAGAGCTCTGAGTATGCACTCACTTATTAGCACTGCCCAAATTAAGGGCACTGGTACTGCCCAAGATTGCTACTGTACCAGCTGCAGGCAACAGAAAGTCAGCGCACAGGCAGAGATCTCTCGTGTTTGCTTGCAAAACACCGTGTCGCTATTTGAGAGGTAAGAGCCCAAAGCTCACAGGTGTGACGCAGAGGTATTGTAGCAGCTTTTGTGGGGAACAGAGAGGGCCCTGCTGCATCTCTAGATTGTCTTTGCGGACAGATGCAAGGGCTTTGAGCCAATTTGAAGCTATCATAACTAATGGCCGTATCAGATTAAACTAAGCAGCGTGCTAGCTGTGCCTACAGCGGTTCTCGTTATCTTCAGTATGTCAGGGTAAGGTCACATCTGTCTCAAACAGTCATGGAAACATTGCTATCTAATCAAGCCTGAAGGTACACTCCTGTGTCCCAGCAGGACTTCAGACCTAACCCCGAACTAATACGGAGCTTCTATGACCTCTTTAATTTGGTCAAACTTTCTGATGTGACGGTGGTGAAAAGCTCTTCCTAAGCTTGTAACTCAGTAGGACTAAACATTAATTCGTGTATCGTTTGTTACTCACCTTTGCCTGATGTGCGCACAGCCCTTCAATGTACCCATGCGACGTGCTGTGGCAGAGAGCCTAAGTCAAGACCCTTCTAGCTTCAGTATTTTTTCCTTTACACTTTTGTACAGAAGGTAAGGATTCCTGTAAAATAACAGCTTCCCATCTCATCACAATCAGCTGTGTAGATTGCCTAGAAGGGGCCACAGCGCTGGGAGGTCGTATCCATTAGATATCTCAGCACTGCTCTCTTTAAAAATGAGGGAAACAGTGCCTGTGTTGAAACATGAACTCTCTAGCCTCACCACTTTATTGAAAGCAAACAATAAGGCAGAGAAAAGGCTTGCCCTCATCCGGTTTTATAAGTAATTGTGCTGCAGTAATCCAGGGATGGCCAGGAGGCCAGCCTGGCCAGCTCCTTGAAGTCAAACTGCGAAGCCGCAGGAAAGGGATGAAACTGAACAAAAGCACTTGTCTTGCAGAGAGAAGCAGGACGGAAACAGGTGGGCGCTTTCCTTATAGGAAGCCAAAAAGGAAGCAGTGGATCCAAAGAAATGAGGAGCTAGATTGTTTAGGCCAACATGAGAGGAAAATGTGCTGCCAGCCTGTGAGCTACAAACTATTCTCAGTGTATATTGAAGAGTCAGAGGGTGACCGTGGTGTTCCAAAAGTGAGTCTCTCCCTCTAGGAGAGCTGGGACTCAGACTTTATTGCGGTCCCTATTTCTCATTAGCAACCATCGTGCTACTGCCATTATTCACAGCTGTTATCTCCTAATGGCGAAAGATGCCTCCCATTCCCTAGAGGCTGCTCTCCTACCACTCCTCTTCCTTTCCAACAAACAGTATCCTCTCTTTCTCCAGACTCTGTTCCAGCCAGCTCACCTCCGTCTCAGCTCCTTATAAAGGCACTGATATTATTCTCATTCCATCCTTCCCCCTTACTAATGGGATAGCACTAGCAACACACAGATATAGTGGTTTCATTCTGTTTAGAATACAGGTGCTAGGATTTGTTGTAGTAATGTACTGTATCTCTCAGCCTTATCTTAAAGTAGAGCATCTGTAGGAAAGCAGAACTGGTAGCTGTTAAATGATTCGGTTACTCAATGTCCAGGGCTTAATCAGACTCCTAATTAAAATAAGAACAATTATTTCCTTGTAGTATCTGGAGAGGATTAAGAATCCTGCCCTTTGAAGAAAAGACTGTGCAGGAGAAACACTCCTCTCTTGTGATACATTACACCGTGCTATCTTATCAGGAGGAAGTTGCTACGGAGTGGACAAACAACTCACTGAAAAAATTCTGCAAAACTTGAAGAAATACAGCTACAGCTACTTGCTGTCAGAGAGAGAGAAAATATCTAATGAGGGCAATCAGGGAATTGTTACAGGTCCAGTGCTATTCGATATTTCTGTTAACAAGTTGGATGCAAGACCAGAAAATTCACTTTCAGAATGTGTGAATGACAGCAGCAGTGAGGTACTGTTACCAACATGGAGGCCAGGATCACAAATCAAAACAAATTCTGAATTAGAAAATACTAGATTAGAAAAATGCTGTAACACTGAAACGACGAAACAGTAAAAAATAAGTATAGAGCTCTACAGTTAGGGAAATGAAGTCAGGTGAACAAAAATAAAATCTGGGCAACAACTGGATAGCCAGCAAATTAAAAAACAATCCTCATCTAACTCCTCCTTTATTCAGCTCATCTTTGCTGAATTTCATGAAGGTCCAGCAGTGAGTCCAGGCCAGGACTAAGACCAGAACCCACAAGTCACACTATAGTGCCCACTGCTTTAACCAGCCAGCAACATTTACTACGTAAGGCCACTGCTTTAGTGAACTGGCCACATTCACCACATAATGATTTTTTCGACACAAACACCAGAAATATTAATTCCTTAACATTATGAGTTCACAGAAACAGTACGATTGATCAAAGGTCACATCAAGACTTAGGATAAAAAATCTGGACATCAGCAGTTCTTTACAAAAGACAAAACTCAGAAAGGCACAGGCTGTGAACAGAAAAAAATCTCCACAAGACAATTTTGTAACAGCTGCATCAACTTGTCCTGCTAGCATTCGCATAGCTTCCTTTCCAGAAGGAACATCTCCTGCCCACTGTGTTCTTGGAACTCTCGTTAGAGCTAGAGGAGATTATAAATGTTCAAAGGGACCCTACTATAGGGAACAAGCATAGCTTTCTGCATGATTTTGTGAATGCTTGTGTGTATGTCTGTATAAATACCCACATACCAATGAACAGGTAGATAACTTCTTACTTGTTTATTATTCAATATGAGTAAATGCAAAATCTTGTATACAGATACGGACTTAGGCACCAATTACCTGCCAAGGCCTCCACAAATCCATAATAAATTATAATGCTATACAGTTCTTTAACTAAAAAGCTCCGAAAGCATATTGAAAACTGTCAAAACAAAGTGAAAAAGGGCAGGCAAACAGTAGGGGGTTCTGCACCAAGAAAGGAAAAGATGCTGCAGTGTTTACTGAGGATGCCACTGACTGCATTCCTAGCAAGGCATCTTCTGTAAAAGCCAGCGGGGGATGAAATTATGGCCTTTTCTATACAATACACAGAGGCAGGAAAGAGTGAATTTACATATGGGGAAGGGCAGTCTCTGCTTACCCTGAATCCTCTGTAAAAGTAGCAGAGACAAAATAGAAAGCACTTGTTCAATCTGCAGGAATATTTATGACCACCATTCTCAAACTGCTTAAGTCACTCTTCAGTCATGGACAACAAAGATGATGTAAGCACAACATTTTCAAAAATGTTTTTGAAATGGCAGCATGTTTACTGTTAATGAAGTTTGATATTTAGACTAATACGAGTTTCAAAATAAATACGGATTTATTTGGCTGGATACCAAGGGAACATTTTCTGTTCATGTGCCTGTATCTAACTGAGAGGAAGCCAAGTAGCATTTCTCCAGAAATTTCTCCACTTGCTTGGTAATTTCCAGTATAAGACGTTGCTCATGCTTAGCTTACTTACTTTTTGATACTTCAAATGACTCAAACTTCACAGGCTGAATGTAGTTCACCAGGTTAGACATCTCTTCCGTGGCCATAGCCTCACTTCCAGCAGTACCCTAGGACAGAGAAGGGAAAATGCTGCAGCTTTGATCTGTCCATGGTGGCCCTCAGAGACCGTAAATACCAAAGCCCAGTTTTCTATCAACCGTGATATCTTTCACCAATCCTGGCTAAGTGAAGTCAATGCCTCACACAGGAAGCTTCACATAGCAAAGAAGAAAATTTGCTATAAGATTGAAATGTTTAATTACACTGCTGCTGTATTCATTCTTTTTACGTGGCTCCTAGGGAAGGGACTGCATTACCTTTACACATGCATAGTGCTGAGCACATTTATCCATACTTCTTCCACCAATGGTACATACACCACAAGCAGTTGTCTAAAACAGATCGACTGTGGTGCTATTAATTCTTATTCTTCAGTAAATGAAAATATAAATAAACAAAGCAAAGATGTGCTTCCAAACCGATTAACAACCAACTTCAGAAAGTTGGTGGTGTGTTTCCCGGTGCTCTGCCTCCCTTTCTCCACTAGATGGTAGTCCCACTCCTGGTAACACAAGCCAACCCACAACTGCTGGAACCGACCCATCGCCATAAAACATTATCTACACCCTTACTTCATCCATCGACGACTTTTTACAGTCATCATCATAGTCATCATCATCATCGCTCTCAATCTCTGCTTCTCCTGAAAAGTTTTAAGCAGAAGATGATTACTGACTGAAGCAATAGTTATAATTACCAGTGATAAATTCGAGAAAGATGTGCAAGTAGCACTGCTTAAAGGAGACTACATTATACATGTGCTTTTTGTCACAGCACAAATCAAATACACTGCCTCGAAGGATTCATCCATCTTCAGCATTGATAAGTTCTTATTGCTCAACCAAACAAAAACTCTTCCTTTGCAGCTGCCGGATGCGCAGTGTTTGGAAATCATGGGGTAGGTATAAGCACTGAGAAAAGAACATTGTGGTGTGCGCAGTGTGTGAGTATAGTATCACAAGCTACACTCAAGAGATGTTCCCATGCCTGGGGCATGGTCCCGGGGTTTGGGAGATGTGAGTCCAAACTCCCCCTCTGTTGCAGGATCCCTACAGGACCTTCAGTGAATGTCTCACCCCCTCTGGGAAGTACACACAGAACAGCGTGCATGAGGTGAAGAAATCATGCATGAAAATTGATGAGATTCTCATGTGCTGTGGTTATCAAGGGCTGCTCAGCAAAATCCATCTGTTCTGAACGTTATCGTAGTACATGTACTGAGGTAGTGCAGCTGGGAGGATCTGGCACAGGAGCCTAACTGCAATAGCTTGACTTCAGTTCCCTTCACAGACCGCTTTGGTGTGCCTTATTGCTAGGGCTCCGGTGGCATAGCTCAAACGCACCGGCTGAGGGCGGTGCAAATCAAGTAACGTAAAGAAGATGCATAAGGCTCACCCGTTCCCTGAAAATGTACTGGTAGAGTAAATGGGACCAAACAAAACACATTTTATGCCTTGCTCCCAATTGCGGTGTACTCATCAAACTCCTGTGGGGCAAGACACAGATTCTTTATTGTTAATTAACAAATGCCTCCCCTTGCCTCCAAAATGTTTTGGTTTGGTTGCACCAGAAATTAAACTGTTAAGGAATATCAAGCTTATCTTTCTCTTTAGCAACTCCTCCTCTGGGTCTGGCTGTCAGAAAATATACACTGTACATCTTAAGAAGACTCTGGAAAAGAAGGTTTAACTTATACTGCAGTCACCTATCCACACCTATAAGATTGACAACTCTCCCTAAAGATTTTATTCCCCAAACCTTTCAGCTATCTTCAGCAGTGGCAATTTTATTTTGGCAGCGCAAAAATCTAACCACTGTGCAGAATTCCCAAACTCTCCAGAGAATGGCAATTCAGTCTTAGTTCCTCCTGTCAATTTAGGGTCTAATCCAAAGCCCACTGAGTCAATAAAGAAACTCCTCTTTGTTCCAGCAGGCCTTGAATCATGCCCAGTGGGCCCCTTCTGAACATGGAGAGCACATATGATTTAAATAATGAGTGTGCCTTTCACAACCAAACGATGACTACCCAGGCTGCGTTTACTTCCAGATGCAGATGTTGAAATGTCAGGCTTTTATTCATCAACACATTTCTTCCTGAACATTTCATTGAAGAAAATAACAGGATTGCTCAACAGGCTCAAGGGATGGCTCAGGGAACCTCAACACACTGTGAAGAGCCAGCCAAGCTCTCACAGGATTTGCAGTGACAATCTTTGGATAGGAAGCTCCCAATTGATTTAACCAGACTGGCAAAATAACACTTCTCATAGTCCACAAAATGAGGGACATGGGCAGATTTCAGCCAACTTGCACTGCTGAGATACCAGGTGGATGATATAGCTTGTTCTTGCTAGAAGTGTCCAGGGAGGAAAGTATGCAACACATTATTCATTTATTTAAAAATATTTAACAGGAAAACTCCCAAGGAGATCAGATCTCATTTTCAAGTTCTGCATCAGACAGCAAAACCAGGACAAATAATACACAGGATTGCAAACACAGAATAAGAATTAGTAAGTGTTTTAGAAAGCATGACTACATCTGCATTGCCTTTCACCCAGCAGCACGGTCCTACGCTCAAACCCAATCTTCTTTTCCCGTTACACTGCTGGGACACAAAGTCGGAGCAAGCCTTGGCCAGACCGAGGAGATGTCTGCGCTGCAGACACCTTCATGCTCACCCTCCCACAGTGGTGGTGGGATCAGCCCCATGCCATCACTCTTATGCCCTTCCCAGGCACTGTGTATCATAAATGCATGTGGGCTGGCACATCCAACTCTGCTGCAGGTCATAGAATCATAGAATGCTTTGGGTTGGAAGGGACCTTTAGAGGTCATCTAGCCCAACCCCCCTGCAGTGAGCAGGGACAGCTTTAACCAGACCAGGTTTCTAAGAGCCTCATCCAACCTGACCTTGAATGTTGCCAGGGATGGGGCCTCCACTGCCAATCTGGGCAACCCTTTCCAGTGCTTGACCACCCTCATTGTAAAAAATTTCTTCCTTATATCCAGTCTAAATCTACCCTCTTTTAGTTTAAAACCATTACTCCTTGTCCTGTCACAGCAGGCCTTGCTAAAAAAATTGTCCCCATCCTTCCTATAGGTGCCCTTTAAGTACTGGAAGGCCGCAATAAGGTCTCCTCGCAGCCTTCTCTCCAGGCTGAACAACCCCAACTCTCTCAGCCTTTCCTCGCAGGAGAGGTCAAGTCCAGTATGTACATGTGAGCTTGTCTAAGGAACAACTAGCTGTAATGGTATAATTATTATTTGCATTTAGATGGGACTACAAACCCAGGTCCGGGCAGGACCTCTCCATGCTATGTGAAATACAAATAGAGTGAAAATAGAGAGCCCTGCTCCAAGGGCTTGCCCTCCAAGTACGAGAGAAAAGCCTGCCCATGGACAGAGGCAGACAGAATATCAAGAAATAAAAAGATGTTGCTCCCTACCACAACAGGTAAGTTATAAAGCAGATACTGTCAACCGCTCATAGGCAGAAGGGCGCAGGAAGCTTCTCGGTGGAGTAAGGGGGCAGTTTCAAGGAGCTGCCCCTAGTGAGTGGGGCAGGGTGGGGAAGGCATAGAAGTGCTCACTGGGCAACATAACAAGTGGACAAAGGAGGCTGAATCCCAACTGATGGGCAGAGGGGTTCAACACAGTAATACTGAATGGATTAGGAGAGGAGAGCTGGGAATGACAAGCCAAATCCCTGTTACCAAGGGTTGAGGAAGTAGAGTGCTAAACATTACCCATTCTCACCATGCCTCAGCAGCGTGACAGATATTGAGAGCCTAATAAAACAAAAGGTTATACATTGCTTGAAATTCAGAGGAATTTGGTAATCTGCTTTCTCAGACCCCTTTAAAATAACAGCCAGAATGGATTATAAATGTGGTACTTGCTGGTGTGGCTTGTTAGCTCTGTAACATTTAGGCAGCCACCAGCGTCTTGTGGAGGGGGAAATCACCTTCTGTTTTTTCCACAGGCTGTACATCAGCATTTGCTCATTTTTAAAAAGTTAAAAATGAACTTTATTCAGGTTGCTAAAACTTTTTATTTTGTAACAGTGGGTCATGGCCTCAGCTGGCATGCAGCAGTGATGTACCAGTGCATTTACATGCACAGAGCCCAAAACATTTTATCCAGTTTTCTATCTAGTCATCATGAAATGATGGAGCCAATTCCACCCTCTCTCTGTCCTCCTGCAACTCTTTCCTTGCAGCACCCACTACTCTGACAAAAATGTCATCTTATCAGTGAGAAATTAACAATTTGCTCAAACATTTAAATACTGTTCAATTAGCAAGTTTTGGCTACTTTCAGCATAGGTCTACTTTTGGTACAATGTATGTACCTGCAGAACTGCCACCGTTCCTTTTGCAGTGTGCAATCGAACTTCTTTGAAAATCTTGCTTATTTACTTCTGTTCGTTGGGCTAAAACAGCCAGGTCTAAGACGCTTGTTTACCAAAACTACAATCTATCTCACAAGTGTTATCTCAGAAATTGTTTTTCTGCTTTGCCAGCTTTGCTGCACCTTTAGGGGAAGCTCTTCCCACTGACAGATATTATAACCCACTGAAGTTACTTTTTACATGTTTCATGAACATCTTGCAGACCATTCCGCAAAGCTCATTTCAGAATTGTTCTTTTAATTATTGCTACTATATCACCACCACTTAGCTTTTATATGGTATGTTTTATAAACGTATCAAAAGAGTGGTGTATTTGAGTTTAAATCTGACCTCATGCAGTGTAAGACACAGTGAAGCTTGCTATCAAGTGAAGTACGAATCTCCACATTTTTTGCACTGCTGTGAAAAAACTCATTTAGAATCTCAAGAAGGCTAAATCAGCACAACTTTCTACTGGAGATCAGCAGTAATTCTGAAAGGAGCTATACAATACAATAGAGTTATTTGAATAGTACGCCCGATTTGCTAAATGTAAAGATTGTATTAAGGTTGGAGTATTGAAACACTTTATGTTAAGAAATGTTAAAAAATAGGCTTCCTTTAGTGAGTCTCTAATTGCATTACTCTTCTCATGCTTCACAAAGAAATTGGTACTGGGTATAGAGAAGCATAATGCTTGCAGTGCTCCAGCATTACATGTTGCCGATACTGAGATACACATAAGGAACGAGGCAGTCAAAAGAAGGGTGTCACGGTGACTGCTGAGCACTGCCCTGTGGAACCACACTCTTCACTGGGTCTTGCCACAGCTGTCTTATAAAATGGTGAATAATTTTTTTTTTTTTAAATGTTCACAGACAGAAATCTGGCATCTGATTTACAGAAATGCTGCGTGTTCATAGCTGTAAGCTGTAGCTGAAATCTCTGGAGCTGTGCTCCGAATACTTAGAAATTCAAAGTAATCTTGAAAAATCAGATCCTGGATGTTCCTTGCCAGTCACCCCTAAACTGTTCTTAAGCTCTCTCAGACTCGGCTGTCCTTAGATAAAATTGCCTTCATACTATTTCACTTCCCACAGGTATTGTTCCACTAAATTCGTTGCTGTTTGTCAAGTGCTCATATGCAGCCTGGATACCCCCACAGAAATTCACTGCAAGATGAGGATGCTACATCTACAATAAGTATTGAATGACAGAGAGAGAAAAAATACTAACTGCATTCTCCAAAAGAGACACAGGTCCTAAAGAAGAAGCTTTGGCTGACAGAAGGATTACAAGTAATACATTTTGGCAGTCACAGATGAACCACGTGACCACATCAATTTTGCAATCTCAGTTCTAGCATTTTCTAATTTGTAAGTGCTCATCTTCACAATCTACAGTTAACAGAGGTTGTTATATAGGTCATACAGACATAATATTCGCGGTTAATTTGTAAAATTACACACCCTATTACGGGACTGACTGCCCCGCCTTGCCTCATCATCAACGTCTAGATTCACAGCCCAGGTCTTTTCCTATAAAAGCTCACAGAGAGGCTCCTGAAAGACAAAGCTGTTACCCTCTGTGCAGATCAGGCACCCAGAAAGCAGAAGATACATACTTTGCCACTGGATTCTCACTATGCGTTGGTAACAAAAATGTAGAGTTAGGAACCCAGGGTTGATTTCAAGTGTTGGAAAGAAGTCAGTTGGCATACACACACTTATTTTTCTGTTTGTTGGGATTTGTCTAAAGCAAATCAAGAAAACAGCATTATATCATTCCTGACACCAGGATGAATCTTCCTTTGAAATCCAAGCCCTACTCCAAAGCATGCCCTTTTCAAAGTTTCTTAACACAATAGCTGAAATCTCTTTCTTTGCTTCTAACAGGATAAACAATGTTATCCATAAATACAGCAGGATTTTTTTTTTTAATTCAGCTTGAAAATTTTCAGCTCAATTAATCAGGGTTTAGAAAAAATTACAAACAGTGGGAAAAAGTTTTTTAATGGCAAATGGTAATGAACTCATATTCCAGTAGAGCTTTCAATTTGCTCTGTAAGTATTCCACGACTGGGGCATAAATGTCTACGCTTTTAGCAATCCAAAATTTCAGTCTTAATAGGAAGAAGAAATTCTAGTGCAGGGAACAGACACTGGGCTGGGAATCAGGATATACAGATTTTGTTGTTTGTCCTGCTGCTAATCGGCTTCTGTGGTTTAGAGCAAATCCTTGCTTTATTTTTTTCTCTGCACTTCTCCGTCTTCTCTAGTTAGGTTTTAAGGTCTTCAGAACAAAGACCAGCTCTTACTAATTTTTGCATACCAACACTCACAATGGTCCCCTGAAGATCCCTAGGCATTACCAGAGTAAATGTGTTAAATTATAGTAACTTTTCTATTTCATTTCTGATTTTAAAAATTCTGCTGACAATGAACAAGTTAAATGTAATACACTGCTTTCCATTGGCTAAATTCCCTACAATTCCTGATGGTAACAAATATTTGTTTGCAGTATTATTTTTGCTTGTTTCCATCTCTGGAACAGGAGAGCATCTTATAGCACTTTGCATAGAGGTCTGTGATGTGTTCCCAACTAATGCAAGACAACAGCGGGTTGAACCTTGCCTGCCTGAGGAACAGATATCTCATTCACAGTTACCCTAAATCTGAAAACACCGCAGAACCACTGCAGTCCTCCTGCACAATGGGTTAAGTCTGAAAGGGCACCAACGGTAGGCACATCTCAGAGGCAACAGAAAAAAGACAACCTTTCTGTTTGGTGTTGGGCATGGGCACATAGAAAAGGCACCCAAGGGTGGAGGAGTCGGGAGGAGTTGGCAGTTTGCTCTACTTCCTAAGCAGTGCAGATAAATGTTACTACACATCACTGAGCTTTAGATCACTCTGCAAGTGGTTCCTCAGCCGCAAGCCTTCACAGACTCCTGGATCAATGACACTTAGCGTTGTTTCCTACTGAGTGAGGCCCACACTGGTGTACCTTTACCTTGCTAGAGCAATGTAAATGGACTGAATTATAGCTGTAATTAAGCATTTGTGTTTTAGAGAGAAAGGTATTTGTAGATTCACTTCATACCTGCTCCGGGGGAGGAAGGTTCAAACATACTAGACGTATCACTGCATGTGTTGGAAGCTTGCTCCGAGAGCTTCTTTTTTGCACTTCCATCTGCAGACTTATGCGACTTCTTTTTATTCTTCACCAGAATTTTGTACATTAAATCCATAGGGCTTGGCAGAGGAACCCCAGGTTCAAGCTTGCAGAAAAAGGAAGAGAAATTTGTTACAACAACAAAAGAAACAAGCTTATTGCAATTTCTTAGGGCCCACATGGTGCAAGACAACTTTGTAACCGCTATAAACCCTGTTAAAATGAAATGTATTTTGCACAAGAGGTAACCTCAACATTAAATGAAACAGGACTACTGAGGGCACTTAAGGAGAAAAGTGTTTTATGAAATGTCTACAGTAATAACCGAAATAAGTATTAGTTCAAATATGAAAGCCTACATTATAAAATGGCAGCTGTGAGAATCAATTGCATTTAGAAGACTACAATTCACTGTATCAGAACAATCTCTGCATCAGAAATTATATGCTTAAGTCACCAACAGCTCACATTTTTTAAGCCCCTCCTTTAGACTCTATTTTGAAAGGCCGTATATGAAGAGTGATACAGGACTGCAACACTTAAAATAAAAATTCACACAGATATTTGTGATCTGATAAACACCAAACCATATTACCGGGTATTTTTCCAATGGATCCATAAGCAATGCATCTCCAAATATTAATCTGCAGTACTCTGCCATTTTTGCCTGTTGTTTAGGGCTAGAGGGGAGAACAGAAAGAAATAAATGAGTCCTACTAATGCTACAGAGTGAAAGCAGCAGTAATGGAATATCTAATATCCTTAAACTAGACATAATTTCCTGATCCAATTGCTGTGAATTTTTCAGAGAGACCTAGATATATCATGCAATTATTCTGATTCCTCCGATAGAGCTTATAAAAAGGATCATACATGAAGTAAAGGCAGTAGTCAAGTCAATAATAGTGGAACTGAACTTTTAACACTGAGGTATATTTTCCCATGCACTTAGCAGAAAATAAAAAAAATTAGGTTGTCAGTTGTTACCTCTAGGGAAATAACCACTACCTGATTTTGCCTCTTTCAGGCAACATTTTTATTCAAAGTTTAAATATTTTCGTCCTTGTGTTACTTTATACACATGCCTGGCATTCTTCTCTCACACACCCCCAACCCCATTTGGATTTCATTCTCTTTTTGTCATACCTGACCTAAGGCATAAAACCCAAAACAGTTATACAGAAAGCAGCCTCCTGTGCAGATGTCTCTTAAATTTGCCAAGCCAAGGGTACGTATCACCTCACTTAACATGTCTATAAGGCACCGCCATACAGAAAAAGGGGCAGAAGACATTGCTTGGGTCTCAAAACCAGCAAAGCTGCATCAGTTATAGGTGCTGGTAGAGAAGCAGCTCGTTTTACTGCAGATTTCTAAAATGCTGTTAGTTTTACTGGAGATTTTCTGCTAAAATGCAGCCCACATTCCCACCCTACTTGTTAGCCTGCGTGAGGTGGGTGCTCCACGACAAAGCACTGCCCCATCCGCAGACCCCTGGGGCTGGGTTCGCACCAAAAGCTTGCACCACTCTGGCCAGCTCACTCCGAAGTACTTCCCCTGACATACCCTCACTGGCAGAAGTCACAGCGTAGATGTAATTGTGCCACTGCTAAGATGTATTCAGTCAGTTTGGAGAATTGCTGTAGTAAGTGCTGGTATAACTGCATTTTATATGCATCTAATTACATACTGCATGCACGTTATGGATATATAACTGGGACCAACGTATCAGGACAGTCGCCTTAGTGGGGATCTGGATTTAATAACAAGCTGCGAGGTGGAGCTGCTCAATGATCATTTTAGCTTGTTTGGGTACGTGGTCAGATTCCTTTTTTCCAAAAACCTTAAATTTTATTTAAAATCAGCTAGAGTGTCAAATTTTACCACAGTAAATTACTTCAGCGGTTTTCATGACATCCTCTAGAAGTAAATTGAACCTCAGGAAACTCTACTTATGATCAATTTTCCCAAAGCGCAACCAAAGAATGAAATAATTCCTGCATATCAGTGATGGGAGTTTTAGGACCGAAGATAGGTTATGCTACTCAGAAATACTACTCAAATCATCTTAAAATGCAAGCTCAGTGCTACAGTCACTCTCTCTCTAATTTTAGACGACTGTGTATTTTTGTTATAAGTGCCTGTTTAAAATCTGTAACACCTGAGCTTAGGTACCTTTAAAAGCTTCCTTTTTTGATACTCTGTTGAGAAGTCTCAATTACAGGACAGGTTTATATTGCTTAATATTACTTCCTCAACTACTGTTAATTATGATCTGCATATCATGGAAGATACACAAATGTTATAAGCGGTTAGGTTACCACGGAGCTATTTTTCATGACAAAATAGAGCTGGGCATATAGGAAAAAAAGACTCCTCATTTTCCTCTTGCAAACTAAGAGTACAACCACCGCTGTGTCTAGTTTGTTGTTAGCTACCAACTGAGCACCTGGCACTGGAGCTCCTCCTGGGCTCAGCAAGGCCAACCAGAGCTGAGATAAAGGCTGGGTGGCATTTGAATCAGAAAACGTAATTTCCCCGAGATCAGCACTCCGGATGTCCCTCGAAGCAGAGACGGGGTGAACCGGTCATTAGCTCAGTCACTGACAAAACATATTGCGAGGAGGCTTTAAATTATTCCACAAAGCTATGCAAGTGCTGCACGCAGTTTAAATCACTACAGCATTTTATTAATGCTTTCTTTTGCGTGCAGCCAATTCTGCAAAAAAGCTAAAAGCCACTTTTAGCTGAGGATGGAAAATTAAGATGAAGACAAGCAAGGCAGTGGAACTAAGAACCCCCAGGGGAGAAGGGGATGGGAAGAATAGATCAGGCTACGACAGTGCGTTAGCTATTTCTATAACTGCCAGCTACCGAGGAAAATAAAGGCACCTCACTCTAGCAAGCAAACAGACTGGGTATTTGCTATAGGTCTAGGGGCCATTATAGGGAATTTTATTTCAGTCTTCTCCACCAGTGTATATTTTGAAGACACCCATACTCATAGGACCCCGAAAGTTCAAAGGACATCTCCTTGAATCAAAAGAGCACTATTATTGAAATCGTAGGAATGGGATGTGACATCAGCATTTTCAAATGGGCACACCAACTCCAAAAACTAAGGGGTTTTAATACTATTAAAAAAAATCTTGCAGTAGTAGGCAAGGCCAAAGGAGGAAAATCTTGACATTACAAAATTACTTGTCTCTGTGAACGGGACTATATGCACAGATATTTTTAAAAGCTCCTAAGAAGGAATAAAAAATATTTAGGAGTACCAGCATTTAACCAAGTGGTATTTTTTTGTGTGTTCTCTCTCTTATATGTATTTTCAAGAGACAGATCATTAGTAATAGTATAGATTATGTATTACTCTTATAGTGTTTTAACAGTTGGAATATCAGTTTCTTTTCATTTTCTCTTCTTTCAGAATCATGAACACCAGAACACCAGATTGGAATACCAACTTTTCTACATCAACATATTTCCCCATTTGTGTTACGGAACAAAAAAGCAGGTATTTCCTGGTCCACATCTACTGCTAGTGGAAATTCTCTCAGCATTCCTATATTGTAATGAAAATTGATTGCCTCAAAAGATTGCCTGACTTTATCTGCTTTATGATTTTTCACTGTGCAGACATGAATGGGTAGCAGACTAATTACATATGCCCCCAAAATGTGCTAGGGCAAGGGGAGATAAAGTGGGAACATGACACCTGGAGATATGGAAATATAAAGAATATTAAGAAATGTTTTCATCACCATTACTGTATTGCTTGTACTTTGTTTTACTGTGTTTGTATTATGCCTATTATGAAGGTCAAGCACAGAGGCTTTGGCACTACTGCACGACTACTGCTCCTAACATTACATTATTATCACTTCTGCAGAGATACTTCTGCATAAGACAAAGACACAGATGCTTCCCAGAAGAGTCTAAAGTAATTTAAAGTGTAGGAAGAAAAAGTGATAAAAATTCTGTTAATATTTGAAATAACAATTCCAGCAAGAAACCAGCAATATGAATAACTGTAATTAAATTTAATCTTGGAAGCAATCTTATATGGATACTGCTCAAGGATCACTTAACCTTTTTGCTATGTCATCAGTGCATTTCTAATTATAGAGTGTCTGCTTTCAGATTTGCAGATTGCTTATCTTCTTGCAAGCCCAATTTCAAACGTCAAGGTCTTCTTGAGGTCTTTTCAACATTTTCAGGGCACTTCACTATTTTTTGATAGAACTACATCTTTTCTTAGCACTGCCTTTTTTCAGTGTGCATGTTTTGACTTCAATATAAATGATGGCATACATAGTATTTTATATATTCTAAAAGTTATATGCTTGCCTCTTTTTCTAAACTTTTTGTTGTATATAAACAGGCAAGAATTAATACACTACATGGTGGCGTTGTAGTAAAGGAAATGAAAATTCTTCACATGCTATAAATATATAATATATATTAGAGAGGAGTCTTCCTAGGAAAAACACTGAAAGAAAGCAAAATTAGATGATTAACACTATGTGCTAGTAAGTGATTTGTTCCCTAGGTGGACAAAAAGAGTTAAAAACATTCTCCAGAAGAAGAAAAATGGCATTTTAAGTCCAGTGGTGATTAACACTGTCATATCTATGGTGGTGATGTAAAACTTATTTACCTCTGATAATCACAGTCTGTTTAAAAGCCATGAATACAGAAGACAGGCTAAAACCATGTTTCTGTTTAAGCCAATGCCAAAATTTCTACTGATTTGTACGGGACCAGCATTTCACACATGAATACTGACTCTTGTAACGTGAAAATCAGAAGAAAAATTTGGTCACCCAAAAGTAGGAACTGATGTCATAAGATTTGTTTGACAGCAATTCTATAAAAACACTTGGCATTTTTTCTTAATACTTAGGACAAAGTCCATCTTTAAGATCTAGGAGAAAAACAACATTCCAAGTAAATGAAAAGACACAAGGAGCATTCCATGAAATTAGGTGAAGGTTTCTGTGAGTGGCATGACTAATTGCCGATTTCTCTAGCAACTAGTGAAGATATGAAGGGATAATTGTAGCAGTTGGTAAAATAACTAGAAATTATTTTAAGCCAAACAAAATTAGAAATCATACACATTAAGTCTGATGACTTATTGCAGCAGAAAAAAATAAATAGCAATAAAGCCTCAGAAAGAGAAAATGCTTGATATTGTTTTTGCAGACTTGCTTTGCTAAAAAGCTATGTCAGAGCAATGCATGGAAAAGGACATCAAATAATACACTTAGGGATAATTCATTATTCCATGACTGGAGTTTTCTGGAAAGAAAGGTCCAATGGTTTCTGTGGGGCAAATTGTAAAGATCAGTGTAACGCAGCAGTAAGTCTGTTCCCTCTTTGACATATTCCTGCCGTATCACACCACCTATAATTTTGACAGTGTTTCATCCTATAGTTCTAAAGCCACTTTTGTACATAACGTACATCTGACAGGAGTTTATTTTATACATTTTTTTACTTCTTTGCTTTTCTAAAATAGAACAGATCACCCTGGAATAGTTGAAGATTTCAGTCTTAATGACTCTAAAGGAAGAAAAATGTAACCCTTCTGGTTAAAATAAACTGGATGTTGCTTTTTCTCCGCCTTATAGCAACACAGTGAATGTATATTTTAACAAATACAGAAGAATGAATAGAAAATTTAATACACTGAAGAATGATGGCTGAGATCTTTTTCTAAAGACCAGAGGTTGCATTTGGAAGCACTGAGAAAAGCACTGTGACTTAAAACCTACAGCAGTAGGTGAGCATAAGCAAGTCCAAAGTGATGTAACTTACCCAAAAAGAAAGGAGTGAAGGGACCGATTAGAGAAAAAAAAATAAATACTGTATCTATGTGTTTTTTCAGAGGAAGACAGAACTAATAAAGCAGGATTTAACAGGTAGGTTTGAACCATAACCATGTGGACTTTAAAAATGTGCACAGAGCCAAGCACACATTTGCCCACAAAAGGCAGTGTAAACTTATACTGTAAGGTATACAGGCAGTGTAGGTCAGCTCTCAGACTTTAAATTTTTCTCCCTACATCATTTTTGATCAGTATTGTCACATGTGTTCTTCAAAACATTCTTACATAGCTTTTTCTACCAGTTCCTTCCCTTATGATGAGAATGTTCTTCTTAAAACAATGGAAAAGCAGTTAGCCCTCACCTTTTTCCTGTTCAAGAAGCAAAAGTGCCAACATCTTTTCTGATTTGTATTAAATCATTCATAGCTGCCCCAAAGATTACTTTTTATTTCACATTATAAAAAAAGCAAACCACCCCCACTTTCTCAGTCCAAACTGGCCCCAGAAACGTTGAAAATGTTTTCACAGCAGAAAACAAAAGGGGAAAAGGCAACTGAAGTTAAGGCACATGTTATGCGTCAATGTCACCCCACTCTGAACCATGCAGTCTCTATATTCAAAACCAAAGTGAATGCCAAACTTAAAAAAAGAAAAATCAGAACTAAAACAATAATAATAATAATAAAACAGATCACTGGGACAAACTGAGAAGTGTTCTCACTTATTTTTTCTTTTCTTACACAGAATAATTGTCCTTTCTTTGCAACTAAAAGAAAAAAAGAAAACAGCTTAGGCAAACTGGTATTTTTCGGCAGGAATGGAACAGTTCCTGGCCATCCATACCACCTACTCTGCAGTCCTAGCTAGTCTATGGTTCTGGCCTCTACTTCTAACACATGAGAAACAGAGCAAATTCTGTGCGCAGAATAAGTTTATAGCGCAGAACAGGGTCATAAGCAGGTGAAATACTGCTTTTTTTTCTTTGATGAAGTACTGTTACATTCCAGCAGGACATACTGAGACTGCAGAGTTAACGCAATCTGTCTCACAATTATTCAAACTTTCTCTTTCATAAAAAAGGTTCTAATTCAGGAAGGTTTTTAAGAACATACCTGATTAATTCTGATCGTCTTGGTTACATAGGCTGATCCAAGTTTTTTGGGGGGTAAGAGTAGAGTTGTTGATCATGTCATATAATAAAACTGCCACAAGTGCATGCACAATTCTGTGCTTAGACCTTATAAAAAAAAAATGTACCACCATACAGGAAAACATGGTAATTACTTACGAATCCACATGATTTTCAAAGGAAAGGAGGATTGGAAAGGGCGATGTCTTAAATGCACATTCAGCAATAGCTTCTATTACTTCCTAAAGAATCAAAATACATACAGTTATAAATTCATGTCTCGGAAGAAACAGCATTTTGATATTTGAAGACAGAAAAGACCCAAAGAGGTCTGCAATCATATCCAAACAGCCTGAAATCAGACCTTCCATTCTAAACATCCCAGAAAGCTCTGGATGTGCTTTTTCAGCAACCACATTTTTCAACATGAACTGTAATCAAACCTCCAAAATGTCTGACGAGCCTCAAGCGCCGCATCTCTCAAGAAATGACTTATGTCTGCCTAAATCAATAGTTTAAAAGTAAAACTTGGTCTTTGTGTGGAGATGTTCCATGCCTGAAGCTATGACTTTGATGAACTATTCTGCATAATAATAAACATGCTCTGACAAATGCGTATCTTCTAAACATCATCAGCACAAGCACGTATCCATAAAATCCTCAGTTACTGTCTCTCACAAGTTTTAGTTCCCCTTTTTTTTGATGAGACAAATCCCTTTAAGGCAAAAGAAAGAAAAATAAAAACCCCATTACTCAGTTAAAACAGTTGGCTGCATAGTAATCATCAAACAGAGGCTCAGAAACTGAAACTTCTGATGAAACAGCTCTGATGGAAAATGGCAACTGTAAATCTAGTAGGGGAATCATGCGATAACACTAATTTTAGTGGGGTGCACAACACAGTAATGCACTCACTGTTTCAAATTATTCAATGCTTCCCTATTGGAACACAAATCTTTTTTCAAAAGAACTTATAAAACACTGAAGAGTTTCCATATGCATTGCTGTCAAACTCTGGAGTTTATAAGAACCTCAAACTCTGGAGTTTATAAGAACCCATAAGCCTGCTCCCTCCCAAATCATAACGATGACTAAAACCTAAAAGATTTATTTATTTTAAACAAGCCTCCCTCTGGGGATTCCTTTTGTTCATTTTGGGTACTTTTAAAGGCTCAACTGAGAAGCATAACAGTAAGAAATCCACTTCCTAAAATGAAAGCTGAGCTTCTGGTACATTCTTCTGATGTTGGGTTGCAGAATCCAGGGCTAGAAGGAAAGCATGAACCGTGTCAAGATTTGCTGATGTGAGCTAGGATACAAACAAAATTTACAATCTTCATGTAAGTAGGAAAAAACACAGCTCATGCACAAATTATTGTAGTATCTCTTACAAGATGAGAAACTAGCTCTCTCGGCACACACAGGTGGTGAATGACTATATTTAATAAACTGCAATCACCAAATATTTAAATGTTCCACATATCACTAACCTGTGCTTCAACTAAGACCACTTCTAGTCTTTAAAGAAAGCAGAAAGGCAAAGCATTTACTGGAAGAACAGCAAATGGTGCAGAAGGCTGGGCGAAGGCAGGTCGGAAGCTGCAGTTTCACAGCAGCGGTTCTCCCATGGGGGGAACGCACGATGGAGTGACTCCCGCCGCACACTTTCTTTCCAGCTCCAGTAAATCACTGAGTGCTGGTACCACCTTAACGCTGTTCAGAACTGGTGGGATTCTCAAAAGCATCGAAGGCAATTTTGCCAGGAGGAGGCAACAGCAGTGCTGAGAATTGGGTTACAAATATTGAGCCCTCCCATCTTGATGCTCTCCACCCAGATCATTAGCACTGGCTTGGTCTCCACCCACCTGCACCCTCCCCTTAGTTATGGAGCACCATGCAGGGCTTAGGAACGCTCGAAGCTGGATATAAGAGGTACTGCCAAAAGCAGTCCTGAGGCCTTTCTTGCTCCTACACACTGCCTAAGCTGTGGAGTAAATCCATAAATTTATTTTCAACTGCCTTGTCAACTGCAAAAAGGGATGAAATCCAGCATGCGTGGGGAAAATAACCTGAAAGAGTAAAATCAGGATTATACTGATGAAATCTGAGGATGAGAATCTCAGGCATTGGTTCAGTGGAGAAAAAGGTATGCTGCTGATGCAGTCTTGCACTGCATTCAAATGTAAATGCAAATTCTCTGTGGTCAGAGAGGAACAGCATGATAAGTTCCATACTTTACTCCAGCTGCAAACTGAACTGAAACAGGTCTCCAAGGTATATATAAAGTACATGCGCACAGATTCCTGGTTATGGCATGAAAAATATTGTCGCTTCCCTATAAGATCTCACCCTGGCAGCAGCTCACAATCCGCAGCTGAGAAAAAACTTACTGATTTCTGTATGTCATGAAGCCAGGTAAAAACCAATCAAACAAAAAACCCACAAAAAATCCCAGCAACATAAGGATGGGGAGTATATATTGTTTCTGTCTCCGCGCTTCAGAAAGCCTGTCTGAGGGAGTGAAAACTGACAGACTGAACAGAAGCAGCGTATGCCGTGGTCACGCCAAAAGCGTGAGCTGATAAATGATTCAGCATTCAAGACCCAGCGATCACTCCGAATTGATTCACACACTTCTGACATTACTTCACTATCATTTGCTCCTCCTCAGCCAAGCAGCACACTTTCAGTGTTGAAAAGAAACCAGCAGTTGACACATTTTTACATTTTTCTGTGTGGAGAAAAAATATTTGCCCTGAAGAGTGACAGATGGAAATATTCCTGAGTCGGTTTAAAATACCTTCCAACTATCTGTCCTGCAAACACAATGCCTAGGGTTGAACATCTAAGTGA